ACAATAACAACAAATTTGTCTCCAAATTTGTCTCATTTCTAATACTATCCTGAATTTCACTGAATCAAGGCTATATTAGTTCCTATGAATTATTTGAAGAGATATGTCTATTTTCTAAAAAAATATGTACATGTTTAGAATATTAAGATTTTTAAATTTCTGTAGTAAGCTGATTTTAAAACATCGCAGGAAGCTAGCTATTTTACTGAAGAACACAGTGCTTAGCCTTTAAAAGAATGTAATTCTACCATTTGCAACAAATTTTGGTCCCAACTAGAGACTGTTATGCTCAGTGAAATAAGCCAAGCACCGGAGAACAAATACCATATGTTCCTTCTGCTATAAGGCAAACTTCAAACAAAGTCAAAACAAGTAGATACACACCAAAACATGTATCTACATATTCCAACCAGACGAAATGCAGAATGGAAACGAGCACACCAGGAATTGAACATACTTTGCAGCTTGCATCTGTACTCTTAAATCTCTTAAATAAAAGGGGAACTCCCAATGAAACTCCTAAGTATGTCTTGACAACAGGATACTAGACTTTCCACGATAGTCTATACCTACAATGCCATGCTATACCTTAATAACAGAATGTTGGACTTCGGACTGTTGCTGAAGGACTACAGTATTGTAATCATATGGGGAAAAGTAGTTGGGGGAGGAAATGAGATGGGGTGGAAGGTGGAATTCCAGTGCCTATGGAACCATGCCATGAAAAATATAAACAAATAATTATAGTGTAATACCAGTTTCCTATTAGGATGAAAATAAGCACATGGAGTTATTGAAGATAGCCAGTTTAGTGAGTATTATTTACTAGTAACTAAAATTCCTAGAGTAGTATCATTTAATAAACACTTTAATAAAATATTCAAACTTAAAGAGATGAAGAAAGCTGAAGTCCTGAAATTAATAATTAAAAAACAAAGATTTCAGGAAGGAAAGTTTCATTTTTAAGTGTACAGTTTTAATTACTTAATTCTGACAAAATGCCATAAAATAGACAAACGGTAAAAAAATAACCTTTGATTTCCTATGAGCTATATTTTAAAGTCTCTCTTTTCTTTGGGAATCTGTGGCGATAAGACTATGTTCATTTCTAAGGAATTAAGGCTTTGTTACTTAAATCTCCCAATAAATTGTACTGAATTGGAGTTTATAATCAGAAACTTCTTTATCATAATGTATCCTGAGCATTACGTTATTTCTGTCTAGTTCATTATTTTTATTGTGCTCTCTTGATGAAGTGAGTAACGACACACCCAAATATTTTCAACTGCTTAAATCACATCTCTATGGATCTTTTCCTTTCTAGACATGCTTAAAGTATGGAACACTATTTAAATTATGGTTAGTATTATAATGATAAATGTAAATGTTTACATGAAAGTGCAACAATTCAATAAGCTATAATAAGGAATGCCTATAGTCACTACGTAAGGAAAAGACACAAAGATACAGAGTCATGCTGCATGAAGTCACAGTAACTGAGTCGCCTGTTGCATTTGCTTCCTAATACTGCATACACTCCAAATTACATTTTGAAGCTCTCTGATATTTCATGCATCTTTAAATAGCATACATTCTAAAATGCATACACTGCAGTCAGTGGGAAATCAACAATATACAAACTATACAAGAGGTATTTAAATGAATAGAAATAAAGTGGATCGTTTTATGTCTTGTGTACAGAACAACTGTGCTTTATAATAGTCACAGCAACAAGAATATGATGAAAATTATCAATTGAAATGATTTAAAGCTAAGCAATCACCACTTTATCACAAAGGATACCTACTATCTGTAGACACCTACTAAACAACAAGCCCGATTTCTAGTGACTGAAAACTGAGTTGGTTATGAAGACCTGGATTGGCTGACAAGCAAACAGGGGTTGCAGCTGTGGCAGCCAGGATGGGTGATCCCTCAGGAAGTTTTATCCGGAATCTCGTGTAGTCACCAGGAAGTGTTCCAATGAAGGAAAAAGTGGACCAGCACAACCTTTTTTCCAAAAGCTCAGCATTTAAGTCAGAGAAAAACTAAGTCTGCATTCTGTTGGCCAAAGACAGCCATAAAACAATTGCACATGGAAGGGTTGGGAAATGGATTTCAGCTCTTCTTGGTAAGAAGCGCAATGTCAAATTCAGAACCTGGACACAGCCCTTGGGAGTATGCATTTTTGAAGACTGTTGTCTCTATACCACACAGAATGAGAGCTCAATACAGAATCTTTTCAAAGTAAAAGCCAAAAATCCTTTTAACTTCATGCATAAACACAGTTTGAGAATCTGGTACATTGCCTCAGAAGCATTTTTTGTCCTTTTAATTATTGCTTCACGATGTAAAAAACAATAATAACAAAGCCCAGATCCTTCCTCACAGGATCTAATGTGATCAAACAACAGCCAGGAGTCCTGAGCGGTCCTCGGAAACAGAACAGTAAACTTGCTTCGGGACTCGGGAGAGGAGCTTTCTCGGGTCCTTACTGGGCTCCAACTCTGGATCACTACCCTAGCTTAAAATGACCATCAGAGTCACTCAAGACCCCTCGCCCCGCCCCCTGAAAATTAATTAGATAGACAGAGACCAATAAGGAAAGCTTAGAACAGACAGGAAACGGTCATCTTGGACTCACACATACCTTACTAGGTAGGACACAAAGATTAGTTACTCCCCACCAAGGTATGAAAATTTCTCTGCATACCCCTCCTAAAACTGTTCTGCACCTCAATTGTTAACATATGCCTTGTAACAGTTATAAGCCTGTTTGGACTATCCTAATAAAATTCACCAAGATCAGTAAAAATGGTGCTTCAATAGTATGTACTGCTAAATATAAAAATGAAAATAGACACGAGACAGCTGAATAGTACCCTATAACCATTTTAAGGTGTATAGCAGCCAATTGTATATAAACTAAAATTGAAATGTCAATGAAGTAGTCACAGGATGTGGTTAAGAACTTGCATTTTCTAACACATTGGTCACTCAATACCATGTCAATTAACTCCATAATGTTGTAAATTGTTGTCAGTGTTATGTTGTGGGTTTTCATTGGAGGGAATGATATTCTGCCAGCTCTACTTTCAGACTAGGGATGGTCTCCCAAGGAAACTGTTGAATTTAACTGGACAATAAGAGGCTGGACTCTATGCATGGTACATGCTCACAGTGAAGAAATCATGACTGGATATGAACTGTAATACTGCAACAATGTGGAGGAATCCAGCATGGGGGGAGGGAATTGGAAGGGGTTGACGGAATCCCAGAGCCTATGGAACTGTGTTATAAAACGAAATAATAATAAAAAAAGAACTCTTCTTAGCAAAGAATGAATGTGGACAGTAGCAGAAGCACGCTCCACAAATGTTGAGACACAGTGAAAAAACAGCTGGAATGGAATTGCTGCATAACCCATTCATTCTTTCTCACAAATGTATCAAAATGAAACCAGTGATAACAATAAAGATGAGCAATGCAAACCTCACTTTATTTGTCGAAGTTGATTCGATTTATCTGTGGGAGGCACATCAATGGCTTGCAGAAGGAAGGGATCAAGAACTACAATCTGTTCTGAAGTGCAGTTATGACACATTACACATTGTGTTAAAATACAGACTCATTACTCAAATATTGACCCTCTCCTGCTTTCCTGATCATGTTGATCTTAAAGCCATTCCATCAACCCTAAGCAAGGGACTGAAGACGAGCCTAGCACTCATAAAAACTGCCACCATAAAAACTGTGAGACAACAAGACATGATGGAAATCAAGAAAGCTTCTCAAACATAACTCATTTTGTTAAATAAAAAAGACATCTGACTTTAAAAGGCCTTTTAGATAAACTTACATTTAATGAATGTTAATTATATGTGAGCCATGTGTTAGATATATTTTTCTATGTTTTTGTTTCAATTTATTTTCACAAACTCATCAACAAAAAGAGGTAGTTTTATTTTTAGCTTTCTATTTAGGTAATAGGTTTCTAGAAGCTCTGGCACCATCTCAGAATATTTGTGACCTTTACAAAAATCTCCCAAAGAGACAGTAATGAGTAGCCAGGGTTGAGTCATTAGTATAAATTGTTTTCTGTGCATATATAACCTTAGAAGACAATAACATAATTATAGAAAATCTAGGAGATATAAGACAAAGGAAATGACAAAATTTTCATAATTTCTTTATGATTTTAAATTTTCTGAGTACTTAGAACTCTTCATTTCAACACGATATACTAATAGACAAGGAGTCTAAGTAGGCACACATACTTTCTGAAAGAAACAAATTTTGGTGAAATATTGCTAAAATGACTTACATTTTAATGACAGTTTGGACTATTAATATGAAGTATAATGTAAAACATAATAATGTTATGCTTGAAGAAAAATATACACACAAATAACTGCCTAAATAGAAATTAATTCCTTTCTTCTACAGAAGCACTTCAGAACAAAAGCATATTCCACTGTATTGTTCAATTGCTGTAGCAGTTCAAGGCGTTACCTCCTGTGGTCAATTACTTAAAAAGCAGTGTCTCCAAATAACACACTGTGTCATTTCCTTATTTTGTTTTTTTTTTTTTTACAAAGCTCATCTTTAAATTTATTTAAATACAACTGACTTCAATGTAATATAATATAATGTGAAATAATTCCTTTATTTCACAGTAAGCATGTATGTGTATTCAATAATCTAGAGCAAGTTGCTTTGAAGCAGTCAGTCTCAGTCAATGTTTTTATTTAAAAGACACTTAAATCACTGCACATACAGGCCAACAAACATAACCAGCCAATTCTTCAGCTAAAATCATCAACTTCTGTAAACAATCAAAGACTCACATTATATCATTAACATGTCACATACTAAGCTGAAGTGATCAAAAGAATCCTCTCTTGTTCTGTATATCATGACTGAAGTTGTCACCGCCCTCAAATAACTGCTAAAGCACACTGGAGTTTGAGAAAAGGATGTTTCTCAAGACAAACACTTACCAGCAAACTTGATATGAAATTTGTTTTCAGGCTTTAAAATCTGTACATACAAAGGACAATTTGGAGCAAAATCTTTTACTGCCCACGCTCTCAAAATTGTTTGGTGATCCTGAAACAACAGAAGTCAAAATATTAGGAGTGAAATTTAAAAACTTGGACCAAGTCAAAACTATGAAGTCATCAACCTGCTAAACAATCACAAACATAATTATAAAGTAAATATACCAAACAATTCATGAGAGCTTACTTTAAAGGGCACATCAATTCAACACAACAGTATCAGCAAAGTGGACCAATGGTGATGATAGGTACTTAAAAAAATAACAGAGACACAGAGGGAAGTTATCTAGATAAGCCTAAAACTGTTTTTTTGTTTGTTTGCTTTTCCAGAAAATTCCTGAGTCCGTCAGAAATGCCACATGCCACACAATTCCAACAATTTGACATTCTGGAAAAGGCCACTCACAGGTTCCCAGGGCTTAGGTGGTCGGAGACAGTTGAGGGATGTGCAAGAGAGGCAGATGGAATGACACAACATCAAATGAGGTCATCACTGTCAGTGGCTTCCCATCATCACCCAGTTGTCAAAACACACCCAAAGGGTGACACAGAGTGGACTCTACTGTAACTGGAGGACTAGCTAAGAAATATGATAACATTCTCTCATCATTGCAGTGGTATATGTTAAAATGAGGGAATAGGGGCTGCAGAAGACACACAAGGACATGTCTTGTGCTTTCTGAGGAAGCACAGGATCAGAAGCACGCCAGACTACTTCCACTCCACAACTCCTTACAAAAATGTACACACTGAACAAATCAGGAGCATTTCTCTTTGCCACAACCACATGTATTATTTTTGTTTCTTCTTTTTACATCCTGTTGTCAAGGCCTCACTAGACAATCTTTTAACCAACTGCTCCTAGGCTAATTCAAGCCTCTGCTCACTCTTGTTCTAGCCTAACCCTTCCACAACGGCCCCTTTTTAGGTGCAAGTAAGGCCAACCAATACCATACAACAAAAGACTGGACTGTTGGGCAGAGCAGAAGTGCCCTCTGAAGGAGCTGAGTGCCTTAGAGGACAAAGAAGTTTATAACAAGCGAAGAACACCTGGTAACCTTGGAACACCAAGCAGCAGACTGAGACCCTGTGCTCTCTCTGCTTCCTGCCTCGCTCTGGCCATAAACAAGAGAAGAAAGCATCCCTAGCCTTGATGCTATCTTTTTGGAATGATGGGTCTGTGCGTATCAACACCCACCATGGTGACATGTCACAAGCATGTGCAAACAAACAGCTTATACCTTTTCCCATGCCCAGCACCTGAGACATATAAAAGCCCAGTGCTGTAAGCCCTGGGTGGCCGTGAACACACACCAAAAGCATGTGCAAACTGAAGAGCTGATATCTTCCTCTTAACCTGAGATGTATGAAGGCCATGTGTTGCATAACCAGGGAGGCCATTGGCCTACACGGTCACTCTACCATGTGATAGTGGGCCCAGGTTGTCTCCCACAAGGGAACACTCCATCAAACTCTCTCTCCTCTGATTAATAAAAGCCTTTACTTCAACTAAAAGACTCTCTTTTGCTCAAATGAATGCATATGACTTTCATCCTCTACCAGTGGACTGAGGCTCTCTTTTCCTCTAAGAGATAGCCTGCTTAGTAGACCCTGATTAGCAAGAATAATTATATTGAAAAAAAAAAAAACAGAAACTTTAGAGTAAGAAATCTTGGACAGAAATTTTATTTGAGAGCTGTGCAGGATATATGAATAAAGAAAAGTTATTACGGATCTTAAAATAGAAGATTTCTGGGACTTACATTGTAGCACAGCATTAAGTCACTTGTGACGCCAGCATCCCACATCAGAATGTCCATCTGAGTTCCAGCTGCCCTGCTTCTGATTCAACTTTCTGATTATGGTTCAAATACCTGGGCCCTTCCCATTTGGAAAATCTGGATGAAATTCATGGCCCGTAGCTTTGGCAAGATCCAACCCCCTAGCTGTTCTGGCACTTGAGGAGTGAACCAGTTAACAGAAGACTGGTGTCTGTCTGCCTGTCTGTCTCTCTCTCTCTCTCTCTCTCGTAGACATAAGAGCTAACTACTTAAATATTCAGAATGCATAGTTTGTTCCTATAAGATTGATGAGTGGATTGATGAGTGCATCTCAGTACTTGCATTTTACTTAATAGCATTACACTTATACACCGTTGCCTCTAAAGTGTTCTTACATGTTCTGTCACTGGTCCTTGGTTCTCGGTTGAAATTTTTATAAGCTTTATTTATTTTTATTGCAAAGACAGATTTACAGAGAGAAAGTTTTCCATCTGCTGATTCACTCCCTAAATGGCCTCACTGGCCCGAGCCGAGCTGATCCAAAATCCAGAAATAGGAGCCTCCTTTTCGTCTCCCATGAGGGTGCAAGGTCACAAAGCTTTGGGTTATCCTTTGCTGCTTTCTCAGGCAACAAGCAGTGATCTGGATGGTAAGTGGAGCAGCTGGGACACAAACTGGTGTCCATATGGGACACACTGCTTGCGGTAGAATATTATTCCATTGAGCCATGGTGCCCGCTCTCTGCTGAAATTCTTACTTCCAGTTTAACTCATATTCCTCCTGATAACCCTTCCTTTTCCCAGAACAGTATACTAACACATGCCAAATCCTCACCTCCTCTCTTTATGCTTAATCCATTCCTGACAGTCAAAGTCCATTCTGCAATCCCTGACCTCCAACATTCTGCTAACAGAAGCGGTAGTACATGGTATTATTTTTCTTTCTTTCTTTTTTTTTTTTTGACAAGGTTTCTTGACAAACCTGTGGTCATGATGCTCAGCCCTGCTAAAGGCATCCCCTCTCAGGGACATCATTTTCTGTGAATACATCAAAATTCTGATAGGAAACCGTTAGTTGGTCTCATTCTAATTCCACATTTGTCCAGTCACATAATTGACTTCATCCAATTTTGAGTCTTTTTATAAGTTGTTCCTCACTAAGTGGGAAGGTCTGTGAAGTTGAAATCCATTATCTCCTCTTTGCTCACCCTAGCTCATCCTTTTGGCCCACTGTTCCCTTGCATTCACAGATGAGCAAGAATAGCAGTATTTGCTGCACAGGCCTACTGTCAGTATTAAGATGATAAAGCACCTGTTTATAAAACGGGTTGAAGACCTACGATGAAGCGTTCATGCTAAAGTCCCACAGATCTTCCCTGCTGTATTCATGCTTTTGTGTCCCCTGAAGAGACAGCAAATATTAACCTTGTAGCTGAATTATTAAGTAAGTAAAGGCAACATGCTATGGCATAAATGTCACATAAGGAATAGAAAAGTCATATTTTCCTAACGCAGATAACAAAATGAACATATAAAATGCTTTTAATTCATGCGCCAGGTATGAGAATGTTATTTTAACTTTCCTTCCTGATGGACTCATCCTTGAACAAGATGTACCACTCTGTCATCAAAAAAGAAAATATTGATTGTGATAACTGAACAAAAAAGAAGGCTGCAATAGGAAAAGGAGGAAACAGAAGCCGTTACCAGGTCGCCGAGGCCATCTGCGGCAAAGGCAGAGCATGTCACCTGAAGTCACTTCGCCCGGAAATCAGATTAGCATACATTGTCTCTGTGAAATGCAACTTTTCTAACAGATGTCTCTAAAAATTCTCTGTTTGTGTTCTAAGAACTTGCAATAAATCACTTTAATCTACATTAGTGATTTTTTAATGAAATTCAAATGATCCATGAAAAAGCTCATTTTAGATTTAATATTATACATGAATTATTTACCACTCATAAGAATTTATATTTGTCATTAGATTTTCATAATTGAGTCCATTATCCAGAAAATGATAAAAATTTTTCTTAACAAAAATCACAACTCAGTTTTCTAAATTTATAAATTCATTTGCAGCACTTTGCAATTTTAACATTCATGAATGGTTTATATATTTGATTATATTGCACTAATTTATCACATTTTATTTTTTAAGATCATAAATTTGTCAAGTAAAACTAAATTATAAAATTAAGTAACAGAGGTAAATAGATTTGTCCCAAATATATAGGTAATGGAATGGAGTAGTTAGCACATTTATAAAACAGAAAGTAAAAAGGTCTTAGGACAAATTAGACAACAAATCTCTCTTGAAAACATTCAAATCAATTTTGTCATAAAAAATTCTTGCCAAATATAACAACTGCCCGAGAAAAATTAACTCACAGAAGTCCTTATAAGCCTTTACACAGATAAGACTCAAAGTACTCAAAGTCAGGGCCTTTAGGCTTGAAGCCAAAATCTCCTGTATCTCTAAATTTAAAAAAAAAGAAAGAAAAATCGGTTACAAGTAGGCATGGAGATGAGTGGTGCAGGCAGGAGAAGCCCACACTGGAGCTCCTGACCTGCACCGGCAGGCCCAGCTCCGGACTCCAGCGCTCTGGCAAGCTCCATGGGAACTAGATTCCTGCCACACATGTGGAAGCCCGGACTGCATTCCTGACCTGTGGATTTGGCCCCTGCCAATGCAAGCCCATCGCTGCCTTCTGAGGAATGAACCAGCCAGAGGGGATTCGTCCTCTGTTTATATAAGATATCCCCTGCTTCTCAAAGTTTAAGGTTAGGTTAATTACACAGTGTATATGTAGCAACAAAAGCTAAAATAATTCTAACACAGAAAATCCATGCAATCGACGGTTAACTGGTTTAACATTGTAACAGAATTTTAACTATTATGCAGGCTATCATAATTTTTTCTTTTTTACTTTTTTTTTCTATTTGAAAGTCAGATATAGACAGAGAGGAGGAGAGACAGAGAGGAAGATCTTCTGTTTGTTGATTCACTCCCCAAGTGTCTGCAACAGTTGGATCTGTGCAGATCCAAAGCCAGGAGCTTCTTCCAGGTCTCCTATGTGCGTGCAGGGTCCTAAAGCTTTGGGCCATCCTCAGCTGGCTTCCCAGGCCATAAGCAGGGAGCTGGATGGGAAGCAGGCCGCCAGTACCGGAATCAGTGCCCATATGGGATTCCGGGTGTGTGCAAGGCGAGGAATCTAGCCACTAGGCTACTGCATTGGGCCCTGCAACTCATTTTAATTGATGTTTTAGA